GGCAAGGTGGGGAGCTGTCCTAGATGCGGCAGGGGCTGGAGGTGCTGCCAGCCGCGGGGGTTAAGGGCTGCTCCGGGGAGTACTGCGGGGGGCCGGACGGGAGGGTCAGTCTAGGGCTGTCCCGGGCCTGGTTCGGGCCCCTCCCAGAGCTCCGCGCAGGCCCTAAGGCGGAGGCGCGAGGGAAAGGGCCACGCTCACCTTCTCCTTCTTCAGTTTATAGGGCATCTCGGCCCGTCCGGACCCGGCCCGGCTCCTGCGGCCCCGCTCCGGCTCCGGCTTTGCTCGGCCGCACTCGGCCCGCTCGGCGTCTCTCCGCCACCGCCTGCGCGCTGCGCCCGGGTCGAGCGGTGCCTGCGCCTCTAATTGGCCCGAACTCTTACAAACCTGCCTGACAACCAGGCGCCGCCTCCTCGGATTGGTCATTGGAGCCAAGCTGCTTCCTTTTTTTCCCATTGGAAAGAAAGAGTACAAACCGCCAGGGTTCGGCTCCCAGAATTGGCTAAGGTGGGAAATCCCGCCCCAAAATGGGTCGGGCTTAGTGAAGGAGGCGGGGGTAAGGGGAAGCCCCAGCTTGGCCAGGAGAGCTGCACTCCAGCGTCGGGTGTGCGTCGGCCTCGGCCATTCTTCGTAGCCCTTGGAGCTGTGCTCTTTCTTTTTGAAGTGACTCTCCCACTTTCCCCACTCTGCTAGCTCGCCCAGTATGAAATGAAGAAAAGAAGCCCTAAAATGAAGGGCACCTTTCTTCATTGGGGTAAAGTAAAACTGGTTGCAGGTGCCAAATTGCCAAAGTCTCCTAAGGGCCCTCCAGGGCATTCACCCCCGCTAGACCTGAGTTAGAGGGGAGTAAAGGGGATGCCTGCCAGGGGTGGGACCTGGGTGAAAGGAGATGAGGATTCCTGGTTTGTTGTAACCTTATGAAATGGGCCCCTATACCTACTGCAAGTATCCTGGGATTGGAGAACTAGTTAGATTTGAGCAGCTAAAAACGAAGTGGAAAGCAATCTCCTTATTAATGTCTCTGGAAATACATCCCTTACGCACCACCTCACCCAAACCAGTGCTCTAATGGGTGAGACTCAATTCCTGCCCTCAGGGAGTTCATTGTCTGGTGAAATTCAAACTTGTGTAAACCAATGGTTAAGATACAATGTAATAAATTCGGGCAATGAGGCACAAGTCTGTAATCCCAGTGATTTGGGATCCTGCTGAGGCAGAAGGATCCCAATCTGGAAGCCAGTACCTAGCAGTTTAGGAAGATCCAATCTTAAAGAAATAAAAAGAGCTAGAAATGTAACTCAGTGGTAAAGCACCCCCTGGGTTCAATCCCCAGTACCAATGATAATAATAATAGAGTGCACGAACCTTGAAGTGGCAAGGAGGAATAGTTCAGAGAGGCTACTCTGGTAACTGACTGACTATATTAAGAAACTAGTCCTAGGCTGGGGATGTGGCTCATTGTTACAGCACTTGTCTGGCATGTGTTAGTTAGGCCATGGTTTCAATCCCCAGCTCTGCAAAAGGAAAAAATAAATAAATAAATAAATAAAATAGGGCTGGGGATGTGGCTCAAGTGGTAGCGTGCTTGCCTAGCATGCATGAGGCTCTGGGTTCGATTCTCAGCACCACATAAAAATAAAATAAAGATATTGTGTCCATCTAAAACTAAAAAAATAAATATTAAAAAAAAGAAAAAAGAAACGGGGCTTGTAATCCCAGCTACTAGGGATCTTTAAGCAGAGGGATGGCAAATTTGAGGCCACCTGAGCAATATATAGAGACTCTACCCCAAGATAAAACTAAAAACTGGCATGTTGGTGCATGTCTGGAATTGAAGCTGCTCAGAAGGCTGAGGCAGGAGGATCACAGTTCAAAGCCAGTTTCAGCAACTTAGCAAGGCCCTAAGCAATTTAGCAAGACCCTGGGGATGTGACTCAGTGGGTTAATTGCTCTTGGATTCAATCCCTGGTACAAAAAAAAAAAAAAAACTATAAAGGGTTGGGAGGGCTGAGATATAGTTCCATGATAGAGTAAGGCCCTTGGTTTGAACCTCAATACCACACACATATCTCATAAAAGAAAGAAAGAACAAGAAATGAATCACCCTGGAGAAGGCCCATCAAGAATAACCTATGGAGGGCTGAGGATGTGGCTCAAGCGGTAGCATGCTCGCCTGGCATGCGTGCGGCCTGGGTTCGATCCTCAGCACCACATACCAACAAAGATGTTGTGTCCGCCGAGAACTAAAAAATAAATATTAAAAATTCTCTCTCTCTCCTCTCTCACTCTCTCTTAAAAAAAAAAATTAAAGCTTGTTTGTCCATCCTAGAATTAAAAAAAAAAAAAAAAAAAACCTATGGAGAGTAAATCTCTGGGCCTGGAGGTTCAGTCATAGGTGCTTGCCCAGCATGGAGGAGGTGCTACTTTCCCCCAGCACTGCAAAATAAATAAATAAAACTTGCCCAGGGATAGTAACATTTAAAGGCAGTGGTCATAGGGATGGAGAAGAGAAGTTGGGATTGGAAAATGTTTAGATTCAACAGGATTTGGTGATTCATTGGATTGTGGGGAGACAGTATCAGAAAGGGAGGAGCTAAGGATGGCTTCCAGAAGTGGTCAAAGACATAGGAAGAAAACTAGTGTCATTGGGCTGGGGATGTGGCTCAAGCAGTAGCGCGCTCGCCTGGCATGCCTGTGGCCCAGGTTCGATCCTCAGTACCACATACAAACTAAGATGTGTCCGCCAAATACTAAAAAATAAATATTAAAAATATTCTCTCTCTCCCTCCCTCTCACTCTCTCTTTAAAAAAAAAAAAAGAAAACTGGTGTCATAATGGCAAGGGAAGTAAAAGAGTATTGGTCAGAGGAAGACTGAGTAAGATAAAAATTGAACAGCAACAACTTGATCCTGCAGTTAGGAGGTTACTGGTGATCTTTGCCAAGGAAGTTTTAGAGTCATAGAAAGAAGTTTATAATAGGTTGAAGTGTGAACAAAAGTTAAAGAAGTGAAGACAACAAATGTAGGATCCTAGCTAGCTTACAGAAATAGTATTTGACTTTAATAAGTAATGATTTCAAGGCAACACAAAGTTTCCATTTCATATCAGTCATTTGTTGGGGAAAAGCCTGGGTGAGAATATGTTTATTAATGGATGGGCATTTGTGTCTGCATAAGTGCTGATATAGACAAGATACCAGATGTATCTGTCCATGCCCAAGGCCTCAAGGAACACTATAGTCCTGAGGCCTAGAGCTTACATTCTACTGTACAAAACAGACATATCTTTTACAGGCGCAATCCATTACCCAGTCTTTGATCCCTCTGGGAGGCAGGGGACAGAGCCACAGATAGTAGGACTAGGACTACCAAATGGGAACGTTTATCTATGTGAATCCAGATTCCTAGCACCTTCTTGTGTGCTGTTTTTAAAATATAGGAATTAGGGCTGGGGATGTGGCTCAAGTGTTAGCACGCTTGCCTAGCATGAGTGAGGCCCTGAGTTCGATTCTCAACACCACATAAAAATAAAATTAAGATATTGTGTCCACCTAAAAAACTAAAAAATAAATATTAATAAAAAATAAAAAAATAGATAAATAAAATGTAGGAATTGTGGGGGCTGGGATTGTGGCTCAGCGGTGCAACACTCACCTAGCATGTGGGAGGCCCTGGGTTCGATCCTCAGCACCACATAAAAATAAAATAAAGATATTGTGTCCAACTACAACTAAAAAATAAATATTTAAAAGAAATGTAGGAATTGTGGGCATGGTGGCACATGCCTGTAATCCCAGTGACTCTGGAGGCTAAAGCAGGAGGATCACAAGTTCAAGGTCAGCTTGGGTAATTTAGCAGGACCCTGTCTCAAAATAAAAAAATAAAAAGGGCTGGGGATGTAGCTCAGTGGCAAAGTGCCCTAGTTCAATCCTGAAAAACAACAACAAAAAAGTAGGAATGGGCAATTTCAAGTATTTGACTTTTAGGTTTTCAGAAATATATGCTACTCAAAATAGACTACCTCAAGATGTAGTCTCAAGGAGAAAGCTGGGCACTAGCTAAAAGAGATCACAACTGTTCAGAGAAAAGAGACCGCCACCATCTAATCCATTGATTATAAATGATAATATATTGGAAATGTGGCCTACCATTGTACGAATGAGGATAAGGATGGACTCTAACAGCACAAGTAGAAAGCAGGCTCTTGACTCAGTAGTCGTGACAGAAGCCTCAAACCCCTCCCTTCACCCAGTTCTCCTGTCTGCCCTCCTCCAGAATAGAAATAGCAAAGGGTCTCCAAGAATTAGTGCGGGGGAGCAACTAGGTTTGAAGGAAGAAGGAAGCTGCTTTGTCTTCAAGTTTGGTGGAAATAGAAAGACAGGACAATGAACAGGACAAGAAGTGCTGGAATGTGGGTTTTGTGTAGGATGTGTTGGAACAGGTGTGGCGGCACCAAGCACTCCAGGGCTACATGAATCACATATAGTAATTCAGCCAGCAGTCACTACGTACCTATAAGCATGTCTGAGACAGTTTTATAATCTTACCACTCCCTCCAACAATATTCTCTACAACCCTCAAACTTCAATGCCTACAGCTGCATAGAGCAAAGTGTAAGAATTCCTACAGAGGAGTGGTCTCTTTTGAAACATTCCATCTACAACTCCCAGCACTAGTCAGTCCCAGGCCGCTCACTGATCAGTCAGTAAACTATGTAGAATATGCTAAGGGGCATAATAGTTGAGAGGAGGTTACTCCCCTCCAAGGCAAAGGCAAATCCTGGTAAACACTGGTTCACAGGGCGCATGCGCACAGTTCTGGTTACTGCCATCGAGGGATGGTCTGGATCTTCTGAGGCACAGAGCAACCTCTCAGAGCTTGCTCCGGGCACCTGACGCCCCTCCCATTTTCCTCACACCGCCTTTAACCGAAGCGGAAGCAGCACTTACGTCGCCTAGTCTTCCGGTTCGCAGGCTCCGGAAGCCGTACTACTTGGTTCTCCTGGTAGATCTCTAAACACCATGGTGCTGGCTGTCTTGCGCGTCCTGGAACCCTTCCCGACCGAGACATCCCCTTTGGTAGTACTGCTGCCGCCTGGGGGCCCATGGCCTGCGGCGGGGCTGGGCCTGGTTCTGGCCCTTCGGCCTGCAGGAGAGAGTCCAGCAGGGCCGGCTCTGTTAGTGGCTGCCCTGGAACGGCCAGGTGCTGAGACTGAGGAGCAAGGTCCTGGGCCCCCGCAGCTGCTGGTTAGCCGCGCACTGTTGCGGCTCCTAGCACTGGGCCCCGGGGCACAGGTGCGGGCGCGGCCCGTGCGACGGCCCCCGGCCCTGGGCTGGGCGCTGCTTGGCACCTCACCGGGGCCTGGGCTCGGACCACGAGTCGGTCCTCTGCTAGTGAGGCGTGGAGAGACCCTGCCGGTGCCGGGGCCCCGGGTGTTGGAGACGCGGCCGGCGTTGCAAGGACTGCTGGGCCCGGGGACGCGGCTGGCTGTAACTGAGCTCCGCGGGCGGAACAGACTGTGCCCAGGGACTGGGGATTATAGCCGGCCCCCGCCCCCGCCCCCGCCGGTGGTATCCTCCTTCGCTGTTTCCGGCACAGTCCGGCAACTCCGAGGAGTTCTGGGAGGGACTGGAGATGCACTGGGGGTGAGCCGGAGCTGTCTCCGTGGTCTCAGCCTCTTCCAGGGCGAGTGGGTGTGGGTAACCCGGGCCGGAGAATTATCGAACACTTCTCGGCCGCACTTAGCCACAGTGCAGGTCCTGCAGCCTCGCTGGGACCTGTCTGAGAGACTGGGACCCAGCTCCGGGCAGCTGGCAGAGCCGCTCGCTGACCGAATGGCCCTCGTGCCTGCCACTCTGGCTTTTAATCTCGGCTGTGACCCCATGGACGTGGGAGAGCTCAAGATTCAGGTGAGGAGTGTTTCCTTATCCTTTTTTTCTTTCTTAACTGAATTGAAGATTAGAGTTGTATTTATTTTCCCCGCCCTTTACCACCTTGAACTGTTAATGTCTCTTAGCCTTGTTTATCCATTCTCTTCAGTCAAAATATCATAGCGTAGTTGTGCATGGAAAGGGTTTTCAGTTGTTCGAGTGAAAAATGAAGTTCACGATCAATTGACAGGTGTGTATATTAATCTGCGCAGTCTAATCAGCTGTTTAATTGGATTGCTGCAATGTATTCAGTGTTGTACTGGATAGTGTTTCAGTGCTTCTGATTATGTTTATTCTTTTTTTAATCTTTATTTTTTAGTTATAGATGGACACAAAATCTTTATTTCGTTTATGTATTTTTTTGTGGTGCTGAGGATGGAACCGGGTGCCTTACATGTGCAGGGCAAGTGCTCTGCCACTGAGTCATAACCCCAGCCCTTATGCTTATCCTTGTCTTCAAATTCTTTCCTTTTTTAGCTCCTTTTGTTAAAATCCTGCCATCCTTTCCTACATCTTTTAGCCCTCCCTAACAATGCCACCTCTTCATAGACTTTCATAATCTCGCTACCACATTATTTCTCCAGTAGCATTTCGTACCTTTTTTTTTTTTTAGGCATTTATCTTTTGCCTTGGTGATTACATAATCTGTCTAATCTCTAATTATATTATTGTTGTAAATTCCTTGAAGGAAAGGACTCTTTTTTTTTTTTTTAATCTCCGGTGCCTAGTGTTTAACATAACTAATTAATTTAATTTGGTACTAGAGATTGAACTCAGAGCCACTTTACCACTCAGCTACATCCCCAGACCTTTTTATTTTATTTTGAGTGTCTCACTAAGTTGCTTAGATTCACTAAATTGCTGAAGCTGGCCTCAAACTTGCAATCCTCCTTCCTCAGCCTCCCAAATCACTGGGATTACAATCATGTTCCACTGCTCCCAACCCGGTCAACTTTAATATTTCATTAAATATATCGAAAAGAAGATTTTGATGTTTGTGGTTTCTGCCTTCACTTCAAGAAGACAGTTGTAGGGGCTAGAGTGTGGCTCAGTGGTAGAGTGCTTGCCTAGTACGCATGAGGCACTGGGTTTGATCCTCAGCACCATATAAATATAAAATATAGTGTCAACCTAAACCTAATTTAAAAATTAATTTAAAAATAAAAAGAAGGGACTGGGATTGTGACTCAGTGGTAACGCGCTTGTCTAGCATGCATAAGGCACTGGGTTTGATTCTCAGCACCACATACAAATAAATAAAATAAAGGTCCATCAACAACTAAAAAAACAATAAATAAATAAATAAAAAGAAGACGACAGTTGTACTTAGAAAAATATAGTTTTGGGCTGGGGTTGTGGCTCGGCGGTAGAGTACTCGCCTCGCACGTGTGAGGTCCTGGGTTCGATCCTCAGCACCACATAAAAATAAAGGTATTGTGTTGTGTCCATCTACACCTAAAAAAATAAATATTTTAAAAAATAAAATAAATAAAATAAAGGTATTGTATCCAAAAATGAATATTAAAAAAAAGAAAAATATAATATACTTCAAATGCTCAGTCACCTCATGTAGATATCAAATATTTCCATCATTGCAGAAAGTTCTGTTGGACAGTGCTAGAGTGGCTAATTAATACTATGGGATGGGCTGAGGGTATGTGCCTCAGTGTAGAGCATTTGCCCAGCATGTACGAAGCCCTGGATTCAATCCTAATGTTGTAAAAACAAAAACTATGAGATGGCAGGACAAGAAGATATACATAAATGGGAGATGTGGATTCCTTCTCAATGGGGAAAATCTACTAGAGTATTCACAGTGGAGCTCATTCAGCTGAACCAATTCTTTCAACTTTATTAAGATCATGTCTTTTTCCCACAGTCCACTTAATATCAATCCCATTGGTTGCCTAATGTCATTCAAAGGACTTGTGGGAATAATTGTCTTTGCCACTTTACTGGATGTGGGCCAGAAAGATTTTCTTTACTGTGGAATTTTTTGGATGCAGAGTCAGGAAAAGAGCTTCCTGGTGTTTATTAGAGGGAAAGGCTTCTATCTTCTAGGGAAGACAGAGGTATTCAGGGGGCTGGGGGATATAGCTCAGTTGGTAGAGTGCTTGATTTATATGCACAAGGCTGTGGGTTCAATCCCCAGCACCACAAAAAAATATTAAACCCAGATCTAAAAATAAATACAAAAAATAGTATACCCAAATCTATGCTTGAGTAAAAAAAAGAAAAATGTAAAGAAAGCAGACAGAGGTGTTTAGTTCTGCTTCCTCAGGCCCCACCTCTGACAAGTCTGTGGTTGCTAAGAAGTAGGACAGGACCTGACTCTTTGGGAGAAAGTTATAAAGTGGTGATTATTTCTCTAACAGAGATACTTGGAAGGCTCCATCACCCCCGAAGACAAAGGAAGCTGCTCATTGCTGCCTAGGCCTCCATTTGCCAGAGAGTTACACGTCGAAATTGTGTCCTCTCCCCACTACAGCACTAATGGAAGTTATGACCATGCTCTTTACCAGCACTTTCAGACACCCAGGTTAGCTGCCTACCCCTTTTAAGGAAAATAGCATCTCACCCTCATCACTTGTCTCTTCTACCTATCCAAGTAACCCCTCTGGTTGAAAGAAGCCATTTTTAGGCATATTGTATTCTCATTGTGTAAGGCAGACAATAGAAATCTGAATCATAAGGTGAATTTGGACATTGTAAACTAAGAAACCTGTTTGATCAAAGAGCACTCCAGAAGAGCCAGTAGCCTGCTCTCTCATTATCTCTGCTCCCTCTTTCTAGTCTCACCTCCATTTCCCCAGCTTGGTCTAGGTCTGTTTGTTCTCTGGTAAATTTGGTAATCTCTGGTGAGCAGTAGATCCCTAAGAAGTAGTCTGTATGTTGGGAGTGAGCATGGGGAGATGTGGCAAGCACATGCTTATAACTCCACTGATAGCTAACCAAGGCCACGACTGTGTTTCAGGGTGGTACAGGAAGGGGATGTTCTGTGTGTGCCAACGTTCGGGCAAGTCGAGATCCTGGAAGGAAGTCCAGAGAAGCTGCCCAGGTATGCAGCTTCCTCCTATTTTATAACTGGGATTTGCAACCTAGGTGCAATTCTATAATCCTCTCCCCCCACAATTATATGTAATAATTTGTGCCTAAGAATATTTTGTTGTTGGGTACATTTTTTTTGTAGAGGAAAAAATTCTTTGGGTTCCCAAACAGGTGTATGACTGAAAAAAAGTTAAGAACCACAGCCTAGGACTGGTAGAGCACTTGCCTGGCATGGGCAAGGCCCTGAGTTCAGTTCCCAGGACTGGGGAGGGTGGGGGGCTACGCGGCTGCTAATGACTTGACCAAGATGGGATTCCTTCCTTTCCTTCTCAACAATGTTGTTTGGGCCAGGACTCAGGCCATGTTGCTCATATTTCAACATAAGGATACACAGACTTTGATTTTTGCCCTAACCCATCGAGTGTGCACATGCTGCTTCACAATCTTATCTCAGAAAACGGGACAGAGGGATTGCTGCTGGAGAGGCCCACCCTCAGAGAATTAGAGGTAGAACGTAGTTTAGCCAAGAGCCCAAGTCAAGTATCCAGCTTTTCTGTTCTGTTGCTTCTGACCACTGAAGTCCCATGTAAAAATGGGGAGGTAAAAAAATTGAGAAGGTAAAAAAATAAATAAAAAATAAATTTTTAAAAAATGTCAAAAAAAAATTTGAGAAGGGGGCTTGGGACTGTGGCTCAGTGGTAGAGCGCTTGCCTAGCATGTGTAAGGTGCTGGGTTCAATTCTCAGCCCCACATACAAATAAATAAAATTAAAATTTTTCAAAAAAAAAAATTGAGAAGCAGTGGTGGTGTAACTCAGTGCAGTAGTACATGTGTAGTATGTACAAGGCCCTAGGTTCAATTCCCAGCAACAAATAAGAGTGCTTCTGCCTTATGTGAAGGGAGAAAGTTGTCTAGCTCTGTATCCCAGGTAGTCCCTTTATTGATTGGACTGATTTCCTCTAGTGCTAGGAGGAGAACACAACTGATAGGTACACTAACCCAACTCTGAGAGCCATCAGGCATAAGGTCTCTGGCCCAGCCAGCCTGTCCTCTGTCAAAAGCAACACCTTGTCTGGAGTGCCTGGTTCATCCTTGGTCAATATCTATGCTTCATTCTGTCCGGTGTTCCGTGCACCCAGTTTCAGGATGGTGGTGCCCAGATGAAGGGCCTGGTAATGCCCTGTGTAACTTCATTTAGGCTCCATGGTACCACTTTGAGGTTTCCCAGATTAAATCCTGGGAGGAAATGCTGACTGGCATTTATTGGTCACTTTCTAACTGTGTCTCTCCTCTTAAATCTAGCAAATGCTTATAAGCTATAGGAAAACTACAGAATTCCCACCTTTTGTACTTTCAAAAGAAAACAAGCACTAGAACTTTCTGTGATAGACCAGTGAGCCATTTCTGTTCCTGGACTTTTGTCTTCCCCCTGAGCAGGCACCCAGTCAAGCAGGGTTTTGGAAGGTGGCCTAAGGACAGATAGAAATTAGTATTAACAAGCCACACTAGGCTTGTTAAGGGAACCCCTCAGAGAGCCCTGAGTTGCCTGCCTGGCAAGGGATTCCACTGTTAGTGGCACCTCTTCAGCTTCTCTTGTGTTGCACTTCCCAGAACCAGGTCACATGGGAGCCAGTTTCATTACCACCCATCCAGCATTCTGGGTGGAACACAACCCAAATAGATTCCAGAGTCTGGTCATTCTCCTCAAGGTGGTCTAACTACTTTACAACCAAGGAAGGTGGTACCCTAACCCCACACACACACCAGTGCCTTCCTTCCTCACTTTCCTAGGCAGTATTTCCAATATGCGTTCCAACTCAAGGTGTTTGCCTTAATTGAGGTTCTACACTTTAGAAGCCCCTGTCACTTATTTAACTAGTTACAGTAAGATACAGTTTTCTGGACTGGGGATGCTTAGTGGTAGAATTCTTCCCTAGCACGCTGAAAGGCCTGGGTTTCATCCCCAGCATATAGTTTTCCCTATGGTCTAATAGACCATATGGTCTAGTACATGAACTTGCTATGCTACTCCCTTGTACCATGAGGCATTCCCACCCACCCCCTTTGCTTCCAAGCTTGGCGTCTGTTGTATCCAACAGACCAAAGGAATTTGCACCCTGATTGGACCTTGAAGAAGCCAGGTTAGCCAGGTGCAGTGGTGCACACCTATAATCCCATTGTCTCAGGAGGCTGAGACAGGAGGCAAAGCCAGCCTCAGCAACTTAGCAAGGCCCTAAGCAACTTAGCAAGATCCTATCTCTAATTAAAATATAACAAAAGGACTGGGGATGTGGCTTAGTGGTAAAGCACCCCTGGGTTCAGTCTCTAGTACCAAAAAAAAAAAAAAAAGTATGATCCAGTCCAGGAAATAAGAAAGACCATCTGCTTTCCTTTCCCCCTACTCCCATACTCCCTGCCTCATCTCAGGGCACTTATTTATATTGCTCTTGAGTCTGTCCTCTATGTTTGAGAAAGCTGTCTGTCCTTGGGAAAGGGAGTACATGGGCTCCAGGTCTGCGGTTTATTGGGCTCTTTCCTTCAGGTGGCGGGAAATGTTTTTTAAAGTGAAGAAAACATTTGGGGATGCTCCAGATGAACCAGTCAGGGCTTACTTGGCTGACACCACCCATACCTCCTTATACATGGTGAGGCCTAGGGGTGGGAGTAGACCTGGTATAGGGGTAGAATGAATGTTTAGAACCTAACACTTCCTCCTGCCTTTCACAGGTGGGTTCTACCTTGAGCCCTGTCCCAATGCTTCCTTCAGGAGAATCCACTCTCTGGAATAGCTTGTCTCCTCCAGGTCTGGAGCCCTTGGTGACTGAGCTTTGTACTGCTCTGAAGCCGCGCCTTCAGCCAGGGTGAGTGAGGCCACAGCCACAGGGTATGAGAAAAACGTGCTTAGAACATCCCTGCAGGGGCAGCAGCCAGACAGATGATTTCTTTCTTTCTTTCTTTTTTTTTTTTTAAGTCAGAAATATCAATTGAACTTCCTAGCTTTGTTTTATTTATTTTTTTATGTGGTGCTGAGAATCGAACCCAGTGCCTCCCGTATGCAAGGCAAGCGCTCAACCACTGAGCTACAACCCCAGCCCAAGACAGATGATTCCTAATGCTCTCCCCAGAGTGGAAGCCTTCACACCAATTGCAGGCCACCAGCCCTGTCCTTTCTGTGTTCTTTGCTAAAATAATCTCCATCTTCCAAGGTCGTCTGTGCAGGAAGAGTCTCCAGCAGGGGCAGTCGTCTCTGAGGCTCCCTTCTTGGGGAACTCAGTGGTCATCCTGGCCTTTACCACTCTGGCCCTGAGGGACACAGCTCCTAATACAAGTGTCTTGAGTATAGACCCAGATCCCTTCTTGGTGCCTCTCAGTTCAGTTCAGACCATATATGATAAGCCAGACTCTATTGAAGGCACAGCCTACCAAAGAGAGTTAGTCTTTGGCTGCTGAATAAGTTCCATGCCCCTTCCAGAACACCAGAGATGGTGTGGGATATATGGCCTCATCATAGAGATAGAGCTGGAGGCAGGGACCTAAGGAGAGACAAATAGCATATCTGCTTTTGAGATCCAAGGGTCCCTGTGTTACTGGGGCTTCTAACATTTGAACAGAATGGAGGAAACAAATGTCTTCTCTGGTTGTAGGGGATCCCTACTGACAGGAACTGGCTGTGTCCTTCTACGCGGCCCACCAGGCAGTGGGAAGACCACAGCAGTTGCAGCTGCCTGTAGTCGCCTTGGGCTCCACTTTCTGAAGGTGAACCCTAACTGCTTCCTCTCCCCAGACCAGAGTCTGTCTCCCTCTTCCTCTTGTCTTCCTCTGTTGACCATTGGCTCTAACAACTTTGCCTAGTGGCCACAGCATATTCCCACAATATTCATCTCCTGAGAGTCCTTTCAAGAAAGCAGTGTTTGAGCTGGAGTTGAAGCTCAGTAGTAGAGTGCTTGCCTAGCACATGTGAGATACTGGATTTGATCTTCAGCACCACGTAAAAATAAATTAATTAAATAAAGGTATTGTGTCCATCTACAACTAAAAAATATATATATTTAAAAAAAAGTAGGAAGTGTTTTCAAGATTATGATGGACAGTCCACAGAATAGGTTGGGTTAAAAAGTAAACCTTGGACTAGGGATGTAGTAAAGTGGTAGGGTGCTACTCCAGTATGCCTGAGATCATGGGGTCAACCTCCAACTCCCTAAAAGGGAGAAAATGCAAGACTTTAACCTAGTATAGCCATACAAAGAAACGTCTGCCATGTCGGATTGGGTGTCACATCTAGGGAGGCTGAGGTAGGAGGATCACAAGTTCTTGAAGCCAGCCTCAGCAACCCTGTCTCCAAATAAAGAGGGCTGGGAATGTAGCTCAGTGGTAGAGCTCCTTGGGTTTAATGTTCAGTACAAAGGGTTGGGAGAGAGGGGAGAAATAGTAGAATTTGAACCCTCCTTTGCCCATCCCTGCCCTCCCAAGTAAAGATGACCTGCGTCCTCTAGTTTCTCCTTTCCCCACCTCCCTATCTCAGTCATGCCTGCCCTTGCTCATAGACCATTGACACCCCTTTCCTAGGTGCCCTGCTCCAGCCTCTGTGCAGACAGCAGTGGGGCTGTGGAGGCAAAACTTCAGGCCACCTTCTCCCGGGCACGCCGCTGCCGGCCTGTAGTGCTAATGCTCACAGCTGTGGATCTTCTGGGCCGGGACCGTGATGGGCTGGGTGAGGATGCCCGTGTGGTGGCCACACTGCGTCACCTCCTCCTCAATGAGGACCCCCTAAGCAGGTATTTATGCAGAGCAGGATCTGCTATAGAGCTGAGGCCCCTGTCCTCTTAATTCTCTTTAGCCTTTCAGTCTTTTCTCACCCTCCTGTGGCTTCCAGCAATCTGCCCATTTGGCTACCCTAAGCTAAGGGTCTTTGGAGTGTTCAGGGGGAAGAGTGTGGTTTCGTATTGGAGGGGGACACTAGGCTGAAGCGAAAATACAGCCTCTCCCCTCTGTGAGCTACCCTTGTGAGGGAGAAGCACAAGTCCTCTCAGGCTGTTTCTGTAGATCCCCATCCAGGAACACTTGGGTGATACTCATCTTCATACCCCATTCCAGCACCCACCCCACTTCCCCTGGACTTCTGCACCAGTCTTAGGACAAGGCAGTGCCCAGGAACTGCCAGGCACTTTGTCACCCTCAGTGCCCACTCCCGTCTGCAGTTGCCCTCCCCTGATGGTTGTGGCCACCACAAGCCGGGCCCAGGACCTGCCTGCTGATGTGCAGACAGCATTTCCTCATGAGCTAGAAGTGCCTGTGCTCTCAGAAGGGCAACGGCTCAGCATCCTGCAGGCCCTCACCACCCACCTGCCCCTGGGCCAAGAGGTGAACCTGGCCCAGCTAGCACGGCGGTGTGCAGTGAGTATCAACATAGATTACATGGGGGAGGTTATAAGACCTTTGTCACAGGAACTCAGCCCCGATGCCCTGTGCATTAGTGTATGAACCCCAAGGCCTTGGCTCCAGCTGGGGGACCAGCCCCGCAAAGGTTCCTGCCTACTTGCCCTGCTCATGTGTCCTTTCCCGTGATTCCTTAGGGCTTTGTGGTAGGAGATCTATATGCCCTTCTGACTCACAGCAGCCGAGCAGCCTGCACCAGGATCAAGAATTCAGGGTAAGGGGAGTGGAGCACAGGAGGGAGAAGACAGGAATAGGAAATTTAAGGGGAGGAGATAGTGAGAAAAGAAGGACATGGGAACTGACAGGGATGAAGCCTTAAGTGCAGCCCTCCAGAGGCCTCTTGTGTGTCTCTTTGCAGTGTGGCAGGCAGCTGGAGCGAGGAGGATGAGGGGGAGCTGTGTGCTGCTGGCTTCCCCCTTCTGGCTGAGGACTTTGGGCAGGCACTGGAGCAACTTCAGACAGCTCATTCCCAGGCCGTTGGAGCACCCAAGGTGGAGGCTCCAGCTCCTCAGAGGTGGGGAAGGTGCTTCCTCCACTTGGACATCCCCAACAGCCTGCTTTCTGTGTCTTAGATTCCCTCAGTGTCCTGGCATGATGTGGGCGGGCTACAGGAGGTGAAAAAGGAGATTCTGGAGACCATCCAGCTCCCTCTAGAGCACCCTGAGCTCCTGAGCCTGGGCCTAAGACGCTCGGGCCTCCTGCTCCACGGGCCCCCTGGCACAGGCAAGACCCTCCTTGCCAAGGCAGTAGCCACTGAATGCAGCCTTACCTTCCTCAGGTGGGCAAGGGGCCTGGAAGGGATGGCAGTTGGGTGAGGTGCTGCGGTGGGTTGGGGAGCAGAAGGGGATACCTGAGAGGTCAAACTATGGGACCTGTTTCACCTTCTCACATCCTCTGGTTCAGTGTGAAGGGGCCAGAACTCATCAACATGTACGTGGGCCAAAGTGAGGAAAATGTACGAGAAGGTGAGCCAGATGAGAGGTAGAGCTTCTGGTCCTTCCTAAACCCTAATGGCTCCTGTGCCACTCCCCTCCTTAGGCTAATCCTGGTCATTCCTAGTCTTCCTTTCCACAAGTTGGGTTCCTGCCCAGGTGGACCTAGTATCTTCAGTGCCAGAGCTGAATTATCAGACCCTAGATCCCTCCCCATCTTCCCTGATCAAGTCCTCTTGAGGTCCACTCCCCTTTCTGTGAGCTCCTCTCTCAGTCTTTTCCAGGGCCAGGGCTGCTGCTCCATGTATCATTTTCTTTGATGAACTGGATTCCTTGGCCCCCAGCCGGGGGCGAAGTGGAGACTCTGGAGGAGTGATGGACAGGTGGAGGCCCAAAGTAGGAGGGATGTGAGACAGGTTGTAGCGGTCTTCAGAGCCCCAAGACAGAAGTTCCTACCCTTTGAGGTTTTTTGTTTGTTTGTTTGTTTGTTTTGGCTGTTTGTTTGTACCCAGGATTTAACCCAGGGGTGTCTTACTGAACTATATTGCTAAGCCTTTTTATTTTGAGACAGTCTTGCTGAATTAATGAGACTGGTCTCGAACTTGTGATCCTCCTGCCTCAGCCTCCCAAGTTGCTGGAATTACAGGCATGTGCCACCATGTCTGGCCTGCCCTTTCAGTTCTGAGATACTATAATGGAAGCTAAAAGGAGTCATGGAGTTGGGTGTGGAACATTGAAGAGAATGGGGGCTTACATGGAAGGGTATTCAGGACAGAGCTGAGCAGAGGGCCCTGTTGAGGCAGACTGTAAGAAGCAGCGTGACAGGCAGGGGCAGAGTCTGATCTGGACCAAGGACTCTCTGCCTTTGCTTCCTCCTCTACAGGGTGGTGTCTCAGCTACTGGCTGAGCTGGATGGACTTCATAGCACTCGGGATGTGTTTGTGATTGGTGCCACCAACCGACCAGACCTCTTGGACCCTGCCCTTCTACGGCCTGGCAGGTGGGCACCCTTGCTCTGACCTTCACCAGGCCTATTGGAATTGTCCTTCCATCCAATTCTGTACTTCCTTTATCCCTCCTGGCTGACCTCCCTGATACTTTTACCCACCTGTCTCCCTAAAGATTTGACAAGCTGGTGTTTGTGGGGGCAAATGAGGATCGGGCCTCCCAGCTTCGTGTCCTAAGTGCCATCACACGCAAGTACATACTATTTGAGAAAGACTCCCAAAGGGTTTGGGCAGTTAGGGGATGCATGTAATGTGCAAGATAAGCTGGTCAGCAGTGGCTTTCAAGGAAGGAATTGGCACCATTTATAATGTTTCTGGTGTACCCACACAGGTTCAAGCTAGAGCCCTCCGTGAGCCTGATGAATGTGCTGGATTGCTGCCCTCCCCAACTGACAGGGGCAGACCTCTATTCTCTTTGCTCTGATGCCATGACAACTGCACTCAAACGCAAGGTTCACAACCTGGAGAAAGGTGAGCCACATAACAACCTGGGGGGTCAACCAGAATGCTAGCAGAGACAAGTCATTCTGGGATTTTAGAGAAGGGACATCTGGGGGACTCTGAGCAGGAAGGTACCTTCCACAGGGCTCTCTGCTGAGGTATAGAACACAGCCTCTGTTCTGCAATGGGAAGCTGCCTTACTTCCCTTTGTCACCTCTTAGGGCTGGAATTGGCGAGCTCAGCACTGTTGCTTACCATGGATGACCTGCTACAGGCTGCCACCCGCCTGCAACCCTCAGTCAGTGAGCAGGAGCTGCTCCGCTACAAGCACATCCAGCACAAGTTTGCTGCCTGCTAGGAGCTGCCTGCAGCCTGGGACTGCCTATACTGGCAAAAGGTACCTAGATGGCCTCTCAGAGAGACCTGAGACGAAAGGGTTCCTCTTCAGGCTATGCTGACCCCCCTGAAGGCTGCCTCCCTCCAGGAGACACCCTGGGTGCAATGTGGCCTTACCCCAATGTCTCCTCCTTGCCCCTCCTTCCAGGCCAGCTTTAAGATGGGCCCACCTGCTGAGGAGGGCCAGGGACTATCTATCTGGGGATTGGCCCTGAAGTCATTTATGGCAGAAAATAAAGTACATGCTGACCTCTTCTGGTGTTGTGAAAAGTTGGAGTGGGGAAGAGCAAGGTTGTGAGAGGAGTGAGCCTAGGGAAGTGAGCACAGGCGCTCTGGGGGCCTGTTCCTTTAGACATAAACACAAGGCTTAGGGAATTAAAAGGCACAAATTGTATTGTTTATTCTTTTTTTTTTTTGCCTGAACCCACATCCATGAACCTCAACTGCAGTGTCTCTGTACTAGGGTTGGGCTTGGTATGGGGCCATGGATCCCTACCTTCCCAGAGCTGGAGTACCTAGGCAGGGGATCATGGGAGGCAAGACCACCTTCATTCTGTCTTCTTGAGCACGTGGATGAAGTAGCAGGGAATGTAGGTCTGGCCCAGCTTGTAAGGCTTGAAGTCACCCAGTATGCTGTGTTGGCACTTGCCCCCAAAGGCTGCTTGGAGCAACTCCGTGAAGGACGCCAGACAGTGTGGGTAGTAGGAGAGCCGGAATTTACTGCAACAGGCCCCCCCATCGACCATGAGGACCAGCGGCCTCAAGCTTTCCCCACTACTACCTCACCCCTGCCAGGCCAAGCAGTACCTGAAGCTAGGAGAACCATCCGGGCCAGCGTCCGTCACCTGCACTGTGTAGTCCAGGGTCACCATGTGGGCTTTGTTATTCACTGTTAGCACTGATGTTGTGATGTCCTTGGTCGAGTCACTCTATAGGCAGTGGCGTAAGCTACATTAACCCACTATGAACCAGAGGACCCCAGCTCACACCTTCCATTTGGGGCCTGCCCTTCCCTGGTGGACCACACCTTGTAGTAGATGTTCTTCCCTGGGGGTGCACAACCTGTGCTCAGGATGTGGTCATAGTTGCGATGATCAATGACTAGCAGGCCCCCTGACCGCACCATGCTTGCAATGTTCTTCAGTGCCTGCCGATGCTCACTCTGGTCACCTGGACTCCAGCAAGGGCAGAGAGGCTCCATCTGGACAGAGCCCCTAGCACCATTCTCCCTCCTATTTCTCCCCTCCCAGATGCCATGCCAAGGCAGAGGGGCCAAAAGGCAAAGTCATCTTTGTCAGGGGAGCAGGCACCCAGGAGTCTGTGGAAAGGGGTAAAGCTCGAGGCAAGTGACATGCCCAAGATCACACCTCTCACCTTTGCAGTCTGGCAAATGGGCAAAACTGTTTCCAAGACAGATGACTGCATCGAAGCCACCTCCTGCTGGTCTGGGCACATCTTTATCCAGAGTCATCCAGTTGGCTTCTTCAATGACTGGGGGCCAAGAAGAGGAAGGAATTAGAGGGGCATCATGGTACCTGCACTGTCCACCTCCGCCAAGTGCAATTCTCCATCACTTTCTTCTTCAAAACACAGAGTCCCCATCCAGTTAGAGGAACATGAAGAGTAAGAAGAGAGGAGAGAGCCATTTTGGGGGACAGGGGCTCTCTGCTTATGTATTTTTATTTGGGAAGAGGGACAAGATGCTATAAGTAGTTAAAACTAGCCTTTCAGAGCTAGGTGTGGTGATGCACACCTGTAGAATCATCTACTCAGGAGGCTGGAGTCAAGGAAGACCAGACTGGGCAACAGACTCCATCTCAAAAAGGGTAGGGAGTACTGCAAATACAGCTCTTTGTAGAACTCATGCATAACATGCCCAAGGCCCTGGGTTCAACCCCAGCACCAGAAACAAACTAGCTCTTGACCCCAGTAGCTCATCTTGATACTTAAGCCTATCTTTAGGAAAATGACAGTAACATTGTTATCTCCTGAGGAAAACAAAATACCCAAACCACCTCATGTAAAGGAGCTCAGGGAAGAGAGACCAGTGTTCCTGGGAGTGTGGGTCAGGAAGGCCTGGCTAGGTTTACATACCCCACTTGTCAAATGCAGGCTCCTGCCGTCGGTTCCAGCGCTCCTTAAGTGCATACTTCAGCATCTTGTCACTGGCGTCCACACTCGTCACACTGAAACCCTCTTCCACGAGCATGATGGAGTCCACCCTGAGCAGGCCCAGGGATGGGAGGCCGAGAAAAACAGGAGAGTCTAGGATGCCAAGGCGTCCCTGCGCAAGACACTTCCCTCAACTCTTCAGAGTCTATTTCTCTGCCTCTTCTCCCAGACCCTCTCCACTGACCTAAAATGACCCCAGAAATCTGTACTGTGGATTGTAATTAGGGGTTCTGTACTACTGAACTATATCCCCAGCCCTTTTTATTTTTTGAGTCAGTGTATTGCTAAGTTGCCCCGGCTGGCCTTGAATTTTTGATCCTCCTGCCTCAGCCTCTCAAATACCTGGGATTACAAGCATGTCCTACCAAATCTGGAATAAATCTGTTTTTCTTTTTATTGTTTTTTGTTTTTTTATCACTGGGTAGTAATTTTCATTTTAAAACACCTTGTCAGAGCTAGGCACTTCACAAATGTGCATTAATCCTTTTGGCAATCCTATGAGGTAGATGATAGGAAACTGGCTCACCACAGGCAGTATATGTCGCATGCTGGTCTGGAGCATAGACCAGACCCTAAATCACCTGGGTTTGTATCTTCCCTCTACTACTTGGGGAACTTTTCCTTCTACGGGGCCTAGTTTCCCCAGTAATAACTGGAGAATTATCATACTTACCTCATGAGGTTTTGTGAGGGTTTGAAAAGCTGGTATATCAAAAACTCCTGGCACTGCACTTGGCACGTGCAAATATTGAACAAATGTTAACTGTTAACGCTGCCCAAGGCCATCAAGGATCTGGCCTGGCCCCAAAGCCCAGTTCTTGCTCTGCGCCATGCACCCTCACTACTCCGCCCACCCTCTCTTGCCCTGAGTCTCCCACACACCTTCTTCCCCTTGGCATGCTGGTGCACTTGAGGTGCCCATTCTGCCGGGGGAAGCATATAGCCGCAGCCCTGGCGTCCATCCTGCGCCTGCCCAAGTCCGGCAGGTGAGGACAGCCCCAACGTGCCCAGTCGGTCCGGCAGCCCACCTGTCCGGGCACAGCCAGTCCCTCGTCCCCACTCCCCAGCCCCAGTTGGGGCTCACCCCGTGCCGCAAGCCACGTCGAGCACCCGCTGGCAGCCATGCTGGCGTAGCAGCCCGAGCAGCCACGCCTTGTACTCGGCGGTGCGGCTGCGGGTGTCCCCGATGTAGAGCTGCCACACGCGCGCCGCCTCCCCGTCTGCATACTGGTCCGGTATCCCTTCGGCTGCCACCCCTAGAGAGCGGGTTCGGTACACGCTGTCCACCATCCTTCGCAAGCCTGGCTCGGCAACCACCACCTCCGCATTTATAGTTAGGCTGTGTTCGGCGGCCCCACCTGGCCAATGGCAGGTGAGCATGGGGACACGCCCCTGGTGGGCTCTACGCCTGGTCTGTCCTTGCCCGCGGGAGGGCTCAGCATCGCAATCCTGGATCCCGCTCTTCGCTCTTCGAGCCCTCTGTGCAATCTCCACCATGAGACCACTCTTTGACCCTTTGCCCACCTAATCCGGGGGCGGGGGGCTGTGCCAAGAGAGGGCGGAGCAGTGAGATTGCTCTCTCCACCCCTACCTAAATCGGAAAAGTCCCATAAGGCAGGATTGGCTAGCGCCCTGGGAGGGAAGAAATTAGCATATCTAAGGAAGGAATGTCCATCTGGAAGGGACTAGCAAGCCAGGGCAGGGAAGATTTTTGAAGTCTAGGATAATGCGGTCTGTCCATGAAAGTCCAAAGGCAGAGCAAGGCCCTACCCTAGAATCATCCTCACTCACCTGGAAGCGAGTGTGCCTTTAACATAGATGATGGCATCAGCTTTTTTTCCCCAGAGCCTCCTACAGTGGAGGAGTCTGGTCCTTCCAATTTGTGGCCTACTGAGCACTCTTCTAAAGGACTTCTTGCTGGGGCTAGGGCTGTAACTCAGTGGTAGAGCGCTTGCCTAGAATGGGTGAGGCACTGGGTTCCATCCTCAGCACCATTTGAAAAATAAATAAAGTCATAAAGTATATATATATATTATATATATATAAAGACCACTTGCTAGCCAGGCACAGTATCAAATGCCTGTAAACTCAGCTACTTTGGAGGTTACAAGCAAGAGGATCAAGGCCAGCCTGGGCAAGTTAGCCCTACCCTTTCTCAAAAGTCTGGAATCTGGGGGCTGGGGTGGTGGCTCAGTGGTAAAGAGCTTGCCTGGCATGTGTGAGGCACTGGTTTCAATTCTCAGCACCGCATTACAAAAAATAAATAAATAAAGGTTCAATGGAATATATATATATGGTGCAGCTCAATGGTAGAGCCTTGCCTAGCATGCTGGGAAGCCCTATGTTCAATCCCCACTACCCACCCACCCCCCAAAAAAAATTGTGTGTGTGATGGCACCTGCCTTTAGTTCCAGCTATTCAGCAGGCCGACACAGGAGGATCCCTTGAGCTCAGGAGTTCAAGGCCAGCTGAACAATAATGTGAAACCCTGTGTCACACAAAAAAATTGCACACTAAGGACCATCTGCTTTCCACAGGGGCCTATAAAGAGAAGTTTGGGGTCAGGAGTGGTAAGGGCTTGTTGCCTTTATTATTTATTATACTAATTGTCACTTTATAAATTGGTCCTTTGGTTTGGTTTGGTTAATCTACATCCCCCATTTCCTCCCCAGAGCAGAAGGTTTCCCAGATTTCTCACCCAAGGACAAGACCTCAGACATAGGTAGATTCCAGGAGCCACAACTGAGCAAATCCTTGTAAGAAATGGAGAAAAATCAAATCCATCTTCATTGGTTGTTCCAGCCTCAGAAAAAGTGAGTTAGGGATGAGAGAACAAAGAAGCCTCCTTCCCTTATCTTTACTTGTCAGAATTGCAGAATTGGAGGAACCCCAAAGACTGTGTAAGCATTCCTAACTTTCTAATTCTGGCACAGAGACAGTCCCAAATGGACCTGCCCAGGCCCAAACAAAGAAGCCTTGGGCTCATGTTCACCTTACAAAGAACTCTCTGAGAACAGGCTTAGAAAGATATTGTATTGGGTAATTTCAAGTAAGCCCAGAGTCATTCTTTTATCAGAATATTCTGGGGAAAATGCACTCTACCACCTCTTGACTTTATTTTCAAATCTCATCCTGAAAAAATTCTCCTCATTGGGCACCATGTTGTGTACTTGTAGTCCCAGCTACTTCTCAGACTAAAGCTGGAAGATCATTTGGAACCAGGAATTCAAGAACAGCCTGGATGACATAATGAGATGCTCAACTAAAAATAAATAAATAAAAAGATGTAATCTCAGTGGCTCAGGAGGTTGAAGCAGAAGGATCACAAGTTCAAGGACAGCCTCAGCAATTTAGCAAGATCCTAAATAAATTAGTGAGACACAGAATCAAAAAAGGGCCGTGGAGGTGGCTTAGTGGTTAAGCACCCCTGGGTTCAATCTCTGGTACCAAAAATTTAAAAAAAGGAAAAAGAAAGAAAAGACAAAGGAAAGAAACATAGAATTATCCTCAGTTGTGGGCAGCATCACAGCATAATATACACCTTATTCAATGGGGTTGGCTGTGTTGGCTGTGTGTGGGGCTGAGTGCAGTGCTGGGAATCAAATCCAGGGTCTCCTACATGCTGGCAAGACCTCTATTACT